CTCTGAGCTTGTTAGCAAATAGTATATAAAAATTATTTCTAAATGACAAGTGCTATCTATAACCTAAACAGTAAGTAATAAACTCTAAAGCTATTAGCAGATAGTATATGAGAACTATTTCTAAGAGCAGTATCATTTATCATCTGATTTTTTTTTATTAAAGACATACTTCCTCTCCCCTCTTCTTATTATATATTTGATCAGGTCTTCATATATAATTTTAATTTTTTTTTACCCCTTTCTCTCCTAAAAAATCACCTGATTTTTGTTACTCCCTTAAATAACAGCTATCATTTTAAAGTTCTATTTTCTATATCTTATATTAGAAACCTTGTAGTTTTGCACTAATATACTATATTTTTTTTTAGTAAAAAGTTTTTTAAAAAATGTGGTCCAAATGATTATTAGAAAAAGCAAATATTTTTGTAATTATAATTTAATATTTGATTTTTTTACTTAACAATTTATTAAATATAATTCTCTTTTTATAATTTTAAATATACTAAGTAAATAAAAGATTTTAAAATTTTTTTTTTTATTATACTATTAATATCTTTATTACAATTACTATCTTTAATGATAAATATTTTATTTTAATTATTTTATTTATATTAAAATATTTAATCTAAACTTTAATAATCTTTTTTTTTTTAATTTTAAAAATTTTTATATATTGATACTTTTTTATTATAATTACTATCTTTAAAAAAGTATTTTATTTTATTATTCTATTTATATTGATATATTTAATTTAACTTTTAATAATTTTTTTTTTAACTTATAAATAAAATATTTATTGGTCAAATTGATATTGTAGACAGTAAATAGCTAACTAACTAGAATAGCAGCAATAGTATTTGGTATTTGCAGAGATAATTTTCTTTTTAGTTATTCTTTTATTTAATTTATAACTTATTATTTAAAAATCTTTTTTTTTTTAAATAAGACTGTTTTTAACAAAAAGCAATTACTGTTGAATCTTCCAAAATCGATAACCTGTCAAATCTGATAAAAAATTAGTCTACCAAGTCCATTTCTGTTATATAAATCTAATAGTTTATAATGATTTCAAATCTGATAACTTCTCAATACCAATACAAAATCTGTCCACTATGCATACCAGGTTTGGAAGGTTCAACAGTATATAATTATACAATTATCTAAGCCTCTATATAGTTAGCATATTAATCAGATATAATATTATAAGTATAATTTGCAGAAATAGTCATTAATAACAATTTTGAATAATAAAATTAGTTAGTTAAAGTCTTTTATAATTAGAATAATAATTTATACATGCAGTTGTAACTTTGTATAATAAGAAAAACTTCTAATACAAATTTTAATAATTCAATAGTATAACAATTAATTGATTATACTAATTATAGAAAAGAATAATAATTTTAACAATTTAATAATCAAATTTATTTAAATTGTAGAATTTGTCTTTGCTTTATTTAATTTAAAAGTTTTATATATACTTGGATTTATATATTGTTATAATACTATAGCTTTCTTTGTACAATTATAGCAAAGTAACAAGATCATCTAGTGCAGTGATATACTTTATGAATATACACAGAATAGATATAAAGTGTATACTTTAACTTTATAACATGGGGTAAACAGTTTGAGATAATAACAATTTATAGATAATAATATTTATTAATAACAAATTTATAGTAATAACCTTGTTTATAAGAATTATTCTAGAGAGAGAATATTACACTTTACAATAGAGAGAAGTAAAGAAGTAAGACTAAATTCTATAAGAGAATAGGAAACTCTAACTTGGCAGAAGAAACAAAAGGCTTACTTTTTATAACTTTTTTATAGATAGAAATATAATAGTATAATTGCTATACTGTATAGAGGTACTTAGAGGTACTCTGTACAAAGGCACTTGGAAGTACTTTGTATTATATATTATTTTACTTAACTGCAGCACTACCATGCTATATTTTTCTACCCAATAAGATCTTTTCCTATTCTAAATATAATTAACTATAACTAATATAATATATAATTTATAATATAATATGCTAATTAACTATACTAATAATCTAATAATATAGTAATAATAACAATATAATAATTAAATCTATTTTTTAACATGTTATCCTGTATTACAACTCACTTTGTAATATTTTTCTTCTTTTAAAATTTTACTCTATAAACTTATACTTGATTTTTATAAAAAGTCATAAGTTCTTCGAATGCTTTCTTCTTATATCATTAAAGTTTTTTACTTTAATAATCTAAGTTTTATAAATATGATCATAACTACGTGCTCAGAATAAATAAAAAACTTATTTGTATGTTTTGGCCTAAATCTTCCCAATAGAAACTTTTATTTTATTCTAATAATATTATAGGTTCTTCTTTCTAGTCCTGTTTGGTAATATTCTTGGCTTTGTAAATTATTATACTCCAAACTTTTATAATAGGTCTTGTAACAAGAGATACAATTATTTAGTTGATATAATCCATCTGATACTTGAAGAGTTAGGCATTGGTAGCAATAGTAGGTTCTACATCTACTATAATAAATTAATCTTCTGGCTTTGATTTGGGCTTTATTACAACTATAGCAATGAGTTAAATTTCTAATTTTTGTTGGGCTAATAGATAATTAATTTCTATATATCTTACTTAATTATAACCAAAATATAAGTTTTGTAAACAATTTTTAAATAAGTGATCAGTCTAATTACAATTTCTACAATTAGCTTTTCTAGGTTGTTTATTAGAACAATTTATAATAATATATCCTTTTCTATAGCAATATTGATATTTATTTTAAGAATAGTCTTTATATTAGTAATCTCAAGATTTATATATTTTACATAATGGTATACTTTTATAACATAATAACTAAATAGTCCAACCTTTCTTATTTTGATTTGTGGTTAAAAAGGTATAGATCTCATAAGGTGTCAAATATTCTTGTTTGTATAATTCAAAGTCTTTAGTGGTGATATATATAGACTATTTTTCTTTGAGTTGTTTTGGTTTATACAAGGTATTCAAAGTGAGATTTTTTCCTTTTCAGTATATAGTATACTAGCAAGTTTTCTAGTTATAATTTGCTTTGACTTTTTGTAACTAATCATTTTCTAGAAGCAATAAATATGAGATAGCAGGGACTACTTTAACATTAATAGAAATTGTTTTGCCTTATATAGATAAATTTTTGATAATACTAAGTAGTCAAGAGATAGTTCTAGTAGCAGTAATAATTAGACTTTTAAAAGGTTTATTGATCTTTAATTCTAGTTCTTTTACAACTTTGTAAGCAATTATACTAACAGAGGCTCTGCTATCAATAATAGCAAAATAAGTATAGTTTTATAAATCTACAAAATATTTAACAGGAGTTATATTGCTATTGTATTCTAAAATAGGCTTGGTGTTTTCTTGGTTCATTTTGGTGATATAAGTAGTAAGAGCAATATGAATAGAATAGTTATCTAAAAGTCATTTCTAATTATTAGAAGCTTGGATATTGAAATTATGACTAGATTTTTCAGCTATATTGATATTTTGATAATAGAGTAAAGGTGAGTGATTAGGTCTAGATTCCTATCTTTCTTGGCTTCTATCTTTGAATTTACTTCTATCATGAAAGTAGTTCCTTTTTTTATTTTTATTTCTATATTTATTACATAATTGACTTTTGTTTCTGTTTTTATTTTAAGATTAAGATCTATTAGAATATTGATAGTTTTTTAAAAAGAGAATCTATATCGAGAGTAATCATAAGATCTTTTACTTTTATCTTCTTTTCTAACTTGATACTTTTTAATAAAATATCTTTTATTTTTACAATAATAGCATATAATACTATTAGTATTATTATTATTTTGCCACAAAGAACTTTTCTTATTGTTTGTATAGTAGACAGTGGTAGGAGAAAAAGTATTTTGTTTATCAGCAAGATTAATACTCAGTTTAGCTATTTGTTTAGTAAGATATTCAATAGCTTGATTAGTGATATTATTTGTATTATAATTAGTAGCTATAGTTTTTCTAGTTTTCTATTTTCTAGCTTTGGTTATAGTAGCTTCCAAAGTATTATGTTTAGTAGCTTGAACATTTATAGCATATTCTGGATATAGTTCTTGAATAAAAAATTAAATAAATAGCAAGGCAGAAAGGTTATTATTAGAGTCAACTCTTGCTTTCAATTGATTAAAATGATTAATATAGGTATTAATAGTATTTGTTTCTTGTTTTATTGCAAAAAGTTTCTGCCATTCTGCTTTTTACTTAGTAGTGCTAAACTTTTCTTTAAACAGATTGGAAAAACTTCTAACTTGTTAACCATTTACTAGTTAGCTATGTTAGTTATAGTGAAAATAAGGTAAGGCATTTGCAAAACTAATAAACTATTCTTAAGCATTGTTTTTTATATAAGTGGTAGCTAATTCTAATTGTCAAGCAGCACTCTAGTAATTAGCTTTGGTAGCTTTTTCAAATTCTTCTATCCAGGTTATAAAATCTTGGATTTCATTATCTTGATAATAATCTATTTTGATAAATGACTTTTCACCACTTTGTTCAAAAGCTTCAGCAAGTTGAGTTATTGCTTATACAGCAGTAGTTAAAACAACATCTTCTATATTATTTACTAATATTTCTTCTTCAGATTAGAGATTTTTTTTAGATTTAGACTCAAAGTTTTGATTTTCTAAATATTTTAATATTATAGTATGCTTGGATTTATTATCAGAAGAATATTTACTAAGTAATGAATATTGTTTAGGTAATTCAAGATTTTTAAAGAAGTTGGGTTCAAAGTTGGCTTCTAAACCTATTTCTATAATTTGATGATTAGTAGGTTTAAGTAATAAAGAAGGAGAAAGGTTAGTAAAAAGTGGTTGCTATAGTGAAAGAGGTATAATTAAAAGAAGATTATCTAAATTAGCTAAGGAGTAGGTAGTAGTAACAGAAGATTGGGTAGCAGGAACTCAATTAAAGAAATTAAGTTGTTTAATAAATTAAGCAACTCTACTAGGTTGTTGTAAAGTGTTAGGGACTGAGTTATGTTGTTGTGGAGAAAAAAGATTATTTAAAAATATTTTAGTAAAAGAAAAAGAAGACAAAAAAAGTCTAGAGAAAAATTCGATTTGGGTTATATTTTTGTTATATAGGGCTAATAAAGAAGAATTAAGAGAAGATCTATTTAATTTTTCTAGTCCTAAAGTATAAATAAATCTTGTAATAATAGAAATAACAAATTCAAGTTCATTTTTTTAGTTATATATAATAGAGAAAAGGTGTTTAAAGATAGTAGTAATAGCTTGGCTAATTTGATTAAATCAAAATAAAATATAAGATATAGAGTATTCAATATATAAGTCTAATACAGTTTAAGGAAAATTAATAGATAATAATAAAGCAAGTTCAAATAGAGTATGGGTATATATATAAAAAGTAGGTAATAGCTTCAGTAAGATTAAATTATAAATTGTTATATTGGCAACTAAAAACAATATCTCAAGCAGCTACTCTAGCAGGATTATAAGTTTAAGTATAAATTAAAATATAGTGAATATTAATAGTTTGCTGATTATATCTAGTAGCAAGAAAATAATCTCCATAATCTTGCCAAAAATGATAAAATTCTTGGTAAAGATTAATAACAAAAAAACACTTAAAACAAGATAAATCCAGATTATTGAGTTGAATAACTTCAAAAGCAAAAAGTAAAGAATAACTAGTTCTGTGAGCTTCAATCTGTTTTAAATATATTTAATATGCACTATGTATATAAAAAATAGCAGATACTAATTATTTAATATTTAGTTTAAATTTAGAATTACTTATATCTACACTTTGGCTTGTAGATAATTTATGCTTAATACTTAGTTAAGGTTTGCAGTAAGTTGTGAGCTCTAGTTTCTACAAAAGCAAAGACTTGAAGTGGCCCTTCTGTACAAATCTCTTTTAATTTAATAGAACTTTCCAAGTTGCTACTAAAGCAAAGGCTTTAAATATGCTCTTCTATACAAATCTCTTTCAATTTAACAGGATATTTAAATATACTTTGATTTTGGATTTGGATGAATTTAACTTTTCCCAAGTAGTTTTAGATTTTTCAGTAGTGTTTAGATTTCTGTGATAAATTTTTAGATTTTTACCAGAAGTACCAAAATATTACAATATTATAGTCTTTTTTGTATAATAATAGCAAAGTAACAAGATAACCCAGTATAGTGATATATTTTATGAATATATACAAAGTAGATATGAAGTGTATACTTTAACTTTATAGCAGGAGGCAAATGGTTTGAGATAATAATAGTTTATAGATAATAATATTTATTAATAACAAATTTATAGCAATAATCTTGCCTGTAGAAATTACTCTAGAGAGGAAATATTATATTTTATAATAGAAAGAGATAAAAGAATAAGACTAGATTCTATGAGAGAGTAGAAAACTCTAACTTGGCAGAAGAGGCAAAAGGCTTCCTTTTTATAACTTTTTTATAGATAGAAGTATAACAGTATTGTAGTATAGATAACTGACCTTGCTAACTATACCACTTGACTTAACATAAAGAAGGTAATAATATATATATAAGGTAAAACTCAAATAAAACTCAAATAAAACTCAAATATAACTCAAAGAGAATAAATTCATAGAGTATAAACTCAAAAATAACTCAGAATATAGAATATAAAGTATAGAAAATAGGAAGGAAACCCCGGAAAAATACAATAAAAATAGAATAAAACTCAAAGAAAACACTATAAAATCACTATAAAAATACAATAAAAAAAGTATATACATGGTAGTAGGTATATAGTCAAAGGTATATTATTTATTTAATAGGGAAAAGTTAGAGAAATACAAGTTAGAACCTGGCAGAACCTATCCTGCTTTAAGCAAAAAGACAGAGTTTTTATATCTTTTAAAACTATATAAAAATAAATAATATTTTGTATCAATGGGTCTGTGTCTGTACTAATAGGTCTGTACCAACAGGTTTGTGTCAACTGGTCTGTACCAACAGGTCTGTATCAATAGGTCTTGCATCACAGAGGTAATAGATTATTATTCGTTATCTTCTATAGTTATATATCTCTAAATCTTAATAACTTGTAAACTATTAACTCGATTGACAAACAGTAAAAACTACACAAAGGAAATTAATATTAAGGATTCTATTAGTGGAATCAGATTTGTATTACAATTAGAAGTTACACATAGTTACTTAATAGAAAATTAAAAAATACTAATATACTACTAATATAACAGTATATATAATTACTATTCCTTAATATGTAAACCAACATGAGCAAATTTGTCTGCATTTTTGTACTTTTTTAGCTTTGATTTACTTTTTTAAAATGCTAAAATATTTAAATAAAACTTTGCATAATTATATTTGAAAATAAGAATTACTTTTT